ACAGCCACATCAATGTTTATAGCAGCACAATTCACAATAGCTAAACTCTGGAACCAACCTAGATGCCCTTCAATAGATGAATGGATTAAAAAAAATCTTGCATATATACACAATGGAAGATTACTCAGCAATAAAAGAGGATAAAATCATGGCATTTGCAGGTAAATGGATGGAGTTACAGAAGATAATGCTAGTGAAGTTAGTCAATCCCAAAAAACCAAATGCCAAATGTTTTCTTTGATATAAGGAGGCTGATTCATAGTGGGATAGGGAGAGGGAGCGTGTGAGGAATAGACGAACTCTAGAGGGGGCATGGGGTTATTAATGGTGGTGGAATGTCAGGATCATTATTATCCAAAATACAGGTATGATGACATGAATTGGTATGAATATACTCTGTATACAACCTGAGATATGAAAAATTGTGCTGTATATGTGTAATGAGAATTGTAATGCATTCCACTGCTATATATAAATAAAAAAAGTTTTGTTCATCAGAAAGACATAATATTCACTATGTATGGACTTATAATTAGTTGAAAGTCTTTAAATAAAGTATTCCATGAATAGATCATAAAAAAAATAAGATTAGCATCACTGCCCTGATAGGTGAACTGCAGTTGTCCTTTGAGGGTATGGTCTATACCTTCCAAAATGCCAAACCTTGCAGCGGGGAAAAAAAGGCTTTTTCCTAGGCTTCCACTGTCAGTCTCAGCCATTGCTCTAGCCTCCCATGCACAGGTTTAAATTCACCTGTCTTTCGGTTACTTAATAATGAGCTTTCATGGCTAGGGTTTTGCCATCCTCAGTCTTCGTGAACCTCCTGAGTAGTTAGTATATTATGTAGAGTCAGCTTTACAGTTACCATGAATGAACCCTATAATAAGCACCTTGTTAGAAAGAGTTTAGCATAACTGTCAACTTGGAGATTTTTCTAGTGCATTCTGACCTTTGGATCATTCATAAAGGTGGATTTCAAAAACAAAATTAAACAAATGTAAAGCAACCATACAGCAGTGGTGGTGCACACCTATAATCCCAGCTATTTGAAAGGCTGGGCAGAGGATCCTAGGTTTGTAGCCTGCCTGGGCAACTTAGTGAGACCCTGACTCAAAATGAAACCTTTAAAAAGGCCTAGGACGTATCTCAGTGGTAGAGAGCTTGCCTAGTTGGGATAAAGCCTGGGTTCAAACCCTAGTACTGCAAAAAACAACAAAGCAACAATAACAACCAAAAAAACCCAAGTAGCCCCACCATACCATAGACCTAAGAAGTAATGATTTCAAATAATGACAAAATAATGTCTTTCATCTCTACCCTTGTTTTCTATTTTCAAATGCAGCATCTTCTCCCAGGGTAAAGAGAGTTACAGAATCATGGTTTCTTGTTTCCCTTAAGAATAGTGTTTGTGATAACTTGTCAGAAGCTTTACCTGCCAATTTAAATGCACAGAATGTGTTTTATTTGCATGAGTTTTTGTTTTGTTTTTTAACAACTTTATTGAGGTTATATCCACATATTATATAGTTTATCCATTTAAAGTGTTTGATTCAGTGGTTTTCTATTCACAGAATTGCACAGCCATCACCAAAATCAATTTTATAACAAAATCAATTTTTTGAACCCTTTGGCAGTTACTTCAAAGATCACTATTATCCCTAGTACTAAATAAGTATGAGTCTACTGTCAGTATGTGGTTTGTGTATTTTTGCCTCTTCTGGACATTTACTTTAAGTGGAATCATGCAGTATATGGTATTTCTGTTACATAACATGTTAGATTCATAGTGCTGTAACAGGTATCGGTGCTGCATTCCTTTTATGGATAGATTTTTTATTGTCTGAATATATCATATTTTGTTTTTCCAGTCATCAGTTGTTGAACATTTGTGTATTTCCACTTTTTAGCTGTTATTTATAAATCTTCTATGAACATTCTTATGAAGTGTTTTGTGTGAACGTGTTTTCATTTTTGTGGATATATGACAATGAGTAAATTGCTGGCTCAAATGGTTACCAAAAGAGCTGCATCATTTTGCATTATTACCAGTAATATATAAGGATTCTAGTTTTTCCACATCCTTCTCAGTGCTTACTGGATATGAGAAGGCTTAGGTGAAATCTTAAGAATATAATTCATGAATGCTACTTGTCCTGCTTAAATGTTAAACTGTCAGGTTAGCTTACTAACTTTCCATTTCCAGGGGTTTTACAAGGAGTTGTGCATATTTTAAATATTTTGAGTTCAAGATTATATAAATTCCCCCTCAAATTCATTCCAGTTTTAAGTAATTCATTATACAAGATGGTTCATCTCATCTTTTTACCATAGGTTTGTCTTAACAATTGGTGAGACAGTAAGAAATCTGTGACAAAAAAATTTTTGCTTATATAATAAATTATGATCTATATTGCCTGGAGAGTTTGTGGTGTTTTGGTATTTTGGGAACTTCCCAGCTAAATTGGGATTCTAGTGAAGAGCAGTTAGCAACCCTAACGGGAAATAAAGGGAGTTGAGTGTGCCTTTCACGGGAGACTTCTTTTGCCTGGTACACAGTCTAGTGCCTCGTTGTCCAACCTCTGATCAAGGAGTCCCTTACATGAGAAACTTGTTTATACTGGCAGATGCCATGTGGACTTTGACCCATGTCTAGTTTATGCCTACCTAAGCATTTGCTAGTGTTCAGAGCCCAGTCTTGTGTTCTCCTGGGCATTCTTGGGAAAACCTTGCTTGGGATAGCTCCTAGTTCTTTAGATGGAAGGCACAATTGGCTGCCAAGGCAACATAAAAATCCACTCATCTTGGCATACTTTTCCCAATTGGAATTTTTCACTAATTGAGTAACATAAATCACCAGGAAAAAAGGATTTATACAAACAGAAATTTTCTTAATGGATAAATTTTCAAGAGTAATGCCTCATACATAGTAGTCACTCAGTGGATATTGAATGAATGAATGAGTACTCTTATCCCATATAGGGACAAGATTTCTATAAAGATCCTTGAATTTTGAAAGCAAATTACTGTTTTTCTTTTCAGTGTTTACTTTGTCTTTGTATATTCTGGAAATTAGAACTTACACTATTTTCCATATTGAAGTGTTAGAAATGTTGTCAATTCTTATGGTATTTTACCAAAAGCAAAACTTAGTAAAAACATCATCAAAATTAATCAAATGAAACTACTGTTTACACAGTTTTACTGCTGCTTTTGATTAATTAATTATTTTATTTTAAAAATAGATTTAAAGCAGTGTCTTAAAAATAAGTTTTAAAAACTCAGACTGAAGTCTTGTTTTATTCTAGATATGGTTAAAGCCACACAGCGTTTAGTCAATGGTAGTAGGTAACTTCTTTGTAGCAAAATAGGGTATCAAATTTTCTCAAATACACTGTGAAAATGTAATATTAACCAATTTTCAGAATTGAATTTTATAGCATGTATCAAGCACAATGAAACCAATTCTATTTCTTGATTTATTATTATGGCAGTATATTCCAAATTCAGAAGTAGAAATTTTAAAATGGTTTAGTTTCACTTTCTGATTAGATGACAGCTTAGATATCTTGAAAAAAACCATTTGATTATCATACCCCTAAAGTGCTAGATAAAATACCTTTAAAGAAAGGAAAAAAAAAAAGTCGACTCACTGCATAGATCAACGCATAGATCAGCTGGCAGGAATAAGGAAAATTCTTAGACTCAAAAGAGAAAATGGAAGAATCTAGAGACATTTACTAAAGGCAGGAATTGTGCTGTGGAAATATGCTGTTCATTTGTGAGT